CATATTGTGTGAAGGGCATTGGATATTGTACACGCAATAATAATAAGGCGGATTTTTGATGGTTCGTGGAATTACTTATTTGTGTCCCATGTATTTGTCAAATGAAATATGGCTAGATGCATTTTGATCATTTCAATTGTTTCGCTTATTTGTAGCAAAAATACGGCTTGGCAGTCAAGTGGCAGGACACATGATGAGCTCATAGATAACCTATGGAGTAACTAGGATACATTGTTTGATGTTTTGCTGCAGAAAATAAAGTTATTACATCGAGACGTGTGAAAGATACGATGCAGTCTGTAGACCGTGGGTGTTTCTCGCCTTTAAACCCATATGAAGACAGGGCACAGCCAATTGGTTACGGTGCAACAATAAGTGCTCCTCATATTGTAAGTACTCACCAAAGTTGGTAGTTTAATGTGACTTAGAAACTACCCTAAATCTGTTAGAAAGATACTAGACCATAGAGCAACTCATCTGTAGACCCGAAGTAGAGATTTAGGCGTCTAATGAAGAATTTATCATAACATTTAGAGTTTTGATGTTATAACACGACCATGTATAGTGATGTCATATGAAGTGAGAAATCCTTTGGCAGACTGATTTATCAGGATTTCAGTCTTTTTAGGTGAAATATGTAGTAACAGTCAAACTGTAGTCGTAGTTCCACAAGTAGTTCAGGAGTAACTACAGAAATATTATGATAACGGGCAAGCATATTTTGCGTAACAATTAATAAACGTATATTGTTTACAATTTTGCTTTAATACACTGTTACTTTGAAATACCGGACCATAAACAGGAAAGACTACTATTTGGATTCTGTGTAACCTTACTTATTTCCCGTGGATTATCTGTTAATTCCTCTGATTACTGGTGGTCGTCTTATTGAAATATTGTTTCCCTGAAACAAGTTTTAAGCTGCTATTCTCCTGAATTCAAACAAACAATAATATAAAGTGTATTTGGGAGCATGAAGTTGACTCATTATGTATATTATATGGTCTCCTCGTAGTTAATTTGAGGATCACTTTTCAGGAATCAGTTGAGATTTTCTTTAATGAAGTTCAGATATTTCATCATTATGCCCAACAAGTGTCATGTGTATCAAGGCTTAAGTCCGTTATTTTGCTTCAAAATGTTTGTCATCAACAGTTAAACTTATGGCCACATTCATATGTAAATAGCTGGTTGGTTTCAGAATGGTTTCCAGTTAATCATATGTTTTGGAGACATCGTAGTACTAGTTTGCACGTTATACGTTTTCTGGGAGTAAGAAATCTAGGTTTACGGCTTTCCACCAGTTGCACTGAACCATCTGACATCAATTCGAAGTGCACCGCAATCGCAGGTTACGTAGCTCGGTGAACATGTTGCATAATTGAGTGATAGGGTTCGTCAGCAACATGATTCCTTCCTGACCAATATGAGGTGCAGGAACGGCTGGCATCGAGATGCAGTCTAATGATAAGGAGTGAAATATTTGAGCGTGTCGACCACTTTAAATTGTCATCATTTACTATGCAATGATTCTTTCTGCTGCAAATTTTCATTCGTTATATTTCATTTAAACTTTCTCTGCCGTTGTGTACTATGTGGATCCGACAATATCAATTCCTGCATTTCTGCGCAGTTTCATGCCAATTAGCAGACCAATTAGCACCAACGCGACTTTATGTACTTGCTAGTGGCCAGTAGACTACAGTCATACAAGAGGTTAGTCTTGAGCACAAATAGCTAAGTGGCAATGTTTTGGACTGCAGAATCGGGTTACGCGGGTTTGGATAGCTGAGCCAACATCACATATTTTGATGTTGCAGATACGCCTCACTAACGAAGGCCAAACAGTGCAAAACCTACATCCAGAGTTTCCTGCTGGTAACTCCCAACCACCTGGCACCAGTATATTGCAGTACTGATGGTGCAAGGAAGATAAACGGTCTCTGGCGAACTGGTTTTTCTGTTTGCTTTGTCAGTGTTGCACATAAGATGTCCCTATATGCATCAGTAACCATAGATTGCTAAAGAAGAAAAAAGTTATGGTAAATTGTTTTGTGGTTGACATCAGTCAAAAATGTATCATTCTGGTACTTAGTGCTGCATACTACATGTGATGATTTCTAAGAACCATGGTTTGTATTTGACTAACCATTAATTTCCTGTGGTTTATGTTTGAGCGAATTTGTTACTTTTCAGTAGTCCGTCATGTATTTAGAGGCTGTATCGCATATTTCTTTTGGTTTTTATGCTTTAGCATGCATACGCTTTGGAAATGCTAGAAGGTCATCTTAAACGTGGTTCACATGCCTTAGATGTTGGGTCAGGTAGTGGATATTTAACAGCGTGTATGGCACTTATGGTAAGTTTGTTTTATTCTGCACGAAAGTCTTACGTAGTAAACAGAGCTCACTGCAAAAAAACAAACAATATCTGAGTTTTTCCTTGACAGTCATACAAAAATGAGTGATATTTAAATTATTGTTTTACTGTCATTTGTGTAAGACAAGAATGAACAGCAATTTGAGTTCGCGGACAGATTAGTGTACACTAAAACAGTTTATTGTCAAAGCCTAAATTTGCTGTTCGTGTGAAGTGTATTTCAAGGTTGGCTATTTCATTGGCTTACATCTTTAATCACCTAGAGGTATAACCTCATGAAACTACATACTGCTGATGGTCGAGATGAGTAGGTTAACACCACTCACATCAACTAGCAGTGCTTGTCAACCAACTAGGTCGAAATAATCTAAATACTGGACTGCTGTTTCGTTCATTTGGAGCTGAACTCATCATCTGTTTGTTCAACTCACGGCTCATACTCTTGGGCACTCGGTCTGCAACCTTTCAGTGTCGAATTTGAGTCTCGCTCCACCAACTTCATTTTGGGTAACTGGGTAATGTCATCAGCTCTCGCACAATGTGGGGTAAATGGGAAATCTATTCCAGATAACTGAGTAAAACATACTCTTAACTACTAGCTATTGTTATCAGAACAAAGTGGTAAACTCGTTTATTTTAACATCTGCTGAATCTACAGTAGTGGTTCAGTCGTTTATATATGTGGGTAGAAGAGTTAGACATCTTGCGTTATTAGCACTCAATTTGTTACTTTTATTGCAGTTTTTGCTCTCAGTCTGTGGATTAGGATTGCGATTTTTTCCTATCAACCAAATAGAAGTGTCTTGGAAACTACCAGGTAGGCTAATCATAGAAAGGAAGGGAGGATTTCGGCATAATAAGGCTAGTAATTTGGCATATTTACAGAACTGTGTTACTTTGGGCAGTTGAGATACGTGTTATTCTCCAACAGTTTTCATTGTTATGTGTACATTAGGACTCATTGATACATTCTCAGTATGTAGTTCTTGTGTGTCAAAAACGGTCAAAATGTTAATTTATCATATTCTGTGTATTGTTTCACCCAGATAATTAAGTAAGTTTTTAATAACAGCTTACTTTGGAGATAATAATCTATGTGTACTTCACTCTGAATTAAGAGAAAATATTGAGTGCGTAACTTGCAATATATATAGTACCTGCTAGCCTGATAATTTTTTCATGGACATAGAAATATAACTGTAAAGTTGTAATGTGTTGCGCTTTGGTTCCTGCGATTTCAGTTATCATTTTTTGGAGATCATTAGTGGCAGGGTGTCTCATGGTTTAGTAGTATTATTATTAGAACACAAAATTGGTACATTATGGCCACCAAGAGATCAATTTCAAGTCACAAAGCAGTAGAGCTGCGTTCACCTGCTCCCAGTTCAGTCAGTTTGGATTCTGCAGTCCATGTACACCATAGGTTTGGAAGCAGAGTTTTCCAGCTCTCCTAAATAGGCCGCGATATCTTCTAGTCCGGTTGTAAGCACTGAATGTTCGCGTTAATACATTCAGTCTTTTTTGAGCAACATCCATGCAGCGTGGAGTCAGTGAACAGAATAGGGCTTACGTGTCAGAGGCTATGAACGCATGGCGACAGTAGGATATTTCTAGAGGAAGACCTGAGTTTACCAACCCTTGGCCGTGATATGTTTACGGGGGCAACAGTGATGTAAATATACTAAATCTTCATCATCTTAATAGTTTGAAACACATTCACTTACCTTCATTTGAATGTCTTTTCTCCTTTCACATCCATGTTACATATTGCTGTAGCATTACACTTTTCCCTAACCCTTTTGTGTAATGCTTTTTTTCATGGCAACCTGAAATGATACACTTTTGCGTAGGTTTCTGACACTTATCTGTGTGTCTGTTTGTAAATATTTATACTTTCATTCAGTGCAAGTCATCTTTACTTGTTTCCGATCAGTTCATTAACTTTTGGTTTCTAAAATCACAAGAATAATAAAGATATGGTCATTGAAACAGGATATGGATTTTCGACACTAATGTCAAGTCAGTGCTTTTATATGGTTTAGAGACTTGGCATATCAACAATAGCATTTTGAACAGCTGCCCTCGCTCCATGTTAAAGATTAGATAGGCAAAAAGGATTAGCAACAGGGAACTCTGGGAACGAACCAACCAATAACCCACAGTCCGAAAATAAGCCCAAGTGGAGGTGAATGAGACACATGAATGGAATCTTTGAGTCACATCGCGCTCCAGTCTCTTTAGTGAGACCCGAATCGGAAACGACGAGTTGGGCGTGGATCCGAGGTTGACGTGGAGAAGATTGTGTGAGGAGATGAGAGCTTATAGGCAACCGTGGTACCAGCAAAGGACAACTGCAGAGAACAGTGGAAAGGAGATGTTCTGTTGAATCCGTATGTTCCACTCAAAACCTAGGGGAGTATTAATAACATTAAGAATAAATTTTAGCGAAGGGACTCTTTTGAATAACTTTTTTCTCTCCTTTAAAAGTGTTTGTGTTCACAGTTCGTTGCTTTTACTCATTTTCTTTCTCTTAGCGTTATAAATGAACCTACACCTTCATGATACTTACTTAGCAAAGCATCATGTAACTTCATACTTCCCTTTTGTCTATATATTTAAAGGTGGGCTCCACAGGTGTTGCAGTAGGCATTGAACATATTGATGAGTTAACGCAATTTGCAACAAAAAATGTTGGAAATTGGATGAAGCATAGTCAAGCAGCTAAAACAGCTGGCATAGAATTGGGAATACAACTAAAACTTGTAACTGGTGATGGTCGTCAAGGTTGGCAAAAGGATGCCCTTTATGATGCTATTCATGTTGGTGCTTCAGCTCCAACTATTCCTAATGCCGTGAGTTCGTGTGTATTTTTCTCTAGCTACGTAAAATTCATAATTTTTCAATTTTTTTACTGACCTTATTGTGGAGGCGTGTCTTATTTTCTGTCCTAAGCACTCAACTATCAGCCAGTGACTGTAGGGTTTTAGTCTTGTTCCACCTACTCCAGGTTGAACTGCTGGGTGCCGGAAATCAGTCTTCACATGAGATATGTGTGACTCATAGACTGGACTTGCTTGAAAGATTTGCTCCGGTAACTTAGTTGAAACAAACGAACTTCCTAATTATATTCATCAGTTTGGCATAGAATATACTTGGCGTATTCGGAAGAATGATACTAATTGACTACTGAAATCTCGATAGATGAGGTTAACTTTAAGCTCGTGTCCCACTGGTGAGTTGATAAAGATCAAACGCTAAGTTCAATGGAGCACACAACATCACAGATGCATCCAGAGAACGCTGACTGTCGAAGAGTGATACCATCACAAATCCATCAGATCACACGTTTACTTACACATTAAGCTACTTTATCTTTCACATTTTCAATGATTCCATAAAAATCGAACAGAAGTTTGCTTCTTTTATGTATTTAGATAGAATACTAGTGTATTCTATCACGTTAAATTTGAGTCTCAATACAAATACTCATAAAAGCTGAGCGCTCTTCAAAGTTTGTAAAGAACGTTTTGTACAGAACATTACAGTATGTATGCATTACTTGTCTTATCATATTCATGATGATGAAGTCATCTGTCTGTGCAATAGTCGAACCCAACAGTGTGTTTTCTTCGTGATTAGTTCAGGGTGTTATTCACTGCTAATTTGGAAAGTAGCTAGACATTTCGAGAAGAAGACCGAAGTCGTCTACTCACCCCTAGGTAGCAGTACCATGTCGTTTATGGTCGTGGAGGAGCAACTACTAACACTCACCAATACCAAAGATGGAAAATATAGTATTGTAACGACAGAAGGCAAGAGTCAGGCAACAGATCATTTATTAAGGAAATCAACGCATATTTATATATGTTTTCATGTACATTACTATGGATACGTAAACAAACAAACCCAGTCTTCCGATTGGTTGTTTCTCACGACAAATCTTAGGAACGTAAATATTGACGTAAATTACTGTCTACCAATTTGGCTGGTAGACAGCTCTCACCACAGTATTACCCATAAAATCACTGGATAAGAAATAATGGTGCTGCTCTTTGTACAAAATCTGCAAGAGGTTATGTGAACACCTTGATAAGATTGTAAGTAATATTGCCCTCGAAACGTCAACTGTTAATAAATAATGCATTCTATAATTTGATAATTCCCCCTGCAAAATTAGGAACACAGTATGCAGTTAAGAGACTGTTTTCAATAAATTTATTATCAAGCTGTACACTTGTATATATATGGTTTTCAAGAAATTATATCCGGTGAGGGAATTGAATCAAACATGTGAATACATAAAATAGTAATAGTTCGAAATGCACTTAAAGTGTTTGTGATTAAAATCACAGTTACATCTCAAGTGTCAAGAGGCAAAACAAATAGTGTCATATATAGAATAGTTCATAAGATGTATAGATGTTTAAATTGGGGTGTAAAATTATAGAACTAGTAGGTCAATGAAAAACGTTACATAACATGATGTGGAATTTGATAAGATAGAATTTAACTTTGCAAAACAAACTGATTTAGAATGACAAATGGAACAGGTGAAATAAAACCGCAAACAGTTCAAAATGAGAATAATAATAGTGTAACAGCAGAAGACAATGGCCAGGCAACAGATCGTTTATTGAGGAAAATCAACACATATTTATAGATTTCAATGTATATTATTGTAGATTATTGTTAGCAGAAAATACAGTCTTTTGATTGGTTATTTCTCACAGAAAGTTGACCTTGCATCTCTTTGTGTCTGTGTCAGATCATCCATATGCTAACTGTATCCGCCTACGCAAAGCCTTTGTTCTCATTTTCTCACCACCAATATTGGGGACATAAACATTGACGTCAATTACTGTCTACCAACTTTGGCTAGCAGCCAGCTCTCACCATATATATATATATATGTATATATATGGTTGTACAGCTTGATAATAAATTCGTTGAAAAGAGTCTCTTCACTGAATACTGTCTTCTTGAATGATATTGTATCACATCTCGCGCGCGTTTATTTTATATCAAGTAAAATTATCCTGTTCTTTTATCCATAGATTATCCTTATTTTCCTATAGTGCATTTATAATTTCATGTGTTGTACGACATATGGTAAAGCATAATTGTCACTTGGTTTTCAGTAAAGTGTCCTTTATTATTTGGGGTAGTGAGGCAACTGAAACTGCTGCACTTCTGTGCAAATTTCTGTGTTGAAACTCAGCCAGTTAGTCCTGTTTATCAGACAGATAATCTGTATGCTAACCATATGGGAGGTGTGGGTTATTTGTTTAAATATCCGACTTCCAACCCCACTGGGTTACGAATTCGAATCCCACTCCACCTGTCGAGCTTTGGGTAGACAGACAGAGTATCACTAGTAGCGCTCACACAGAACAACAGCTGAGGTTCATTCCCACCTACATTGCAAATGGCTGTTGTATACTAGCACGTCTAACTTCTCTCTACTGATCTCAATATGGCGAAGTTAGACAATAGCGTCCCATGGGTGCGAATGCCCCAGTGACCTTCGACGCAGGTTAGTTGTTAGTTAAAGACACCTGTCACTATTCTATTCCAAATATGAACGCTATTCACCGATTAAAGAATGAATTTCACCCGGATCACGTTTTTGAGTAGTGTTTGGATAGTGTGCTAATAGCTCATTAGGATTAGGATCACAGGGTTGCAGTTAGGAATAGATTTAAAGTTGGAATTACTTATTTTAATTTGTCATTATCCACATTTTCCTGCTAAGTAGTCATTGATCTTTCTACTGGAAACCGTAGTGATTCAACCGACGGCTTTTGGAAAGGACTTAGAAACAGGATAAAAGTGTGATAAACAGGTCACAAAAAGAGCCGCCTTTTAGTCACTTCGGTGGATATATATATGTGGACAGAATCTGGTCTATCTTAAAAGTACGTTTCAGTTATAATGAGGATTATCGGTTTTTAAGTCATGTCAGAGAAAGATACCCTGTTTAATGTTTTACTATGCATTTCCTTGTAAATGAACGTTATTTTTTGTGTAAAAACCAATTATTTTTTATGGTTGATGGTCGGCTCAAGGTCAGTCTTGCTTTCGAATCCCTTGGGACGCTACTGTTTAACTTTGCCTCTCAGTATTTGTTCAATTGTTAAAATAGTCATAGCACATTTTCTCATACTTTTGATTTTATTGTAATCAACTTTGCTTGTTTATTTGTTTTGTCTAGTTAATAGAACAGCTAAACGTTGGTGGTCGTCTAATTTGCCCTGTAGGTCCAGCAGGTGGACTTCAAGTTCTGGTTCAAATTGATCGTTTATCAGATGGTTCATTCCAGAATAAAACACTTAAGGAAGTTATTTTTGTACCACTAACGGACAAAAATTTACAATTAAGACCAAGGTAAATTCTTACATACTGCCTTTTTCTCAGAAAAAAAACAAAATTCAATTTACATATGTTTTATTACTGTGATTTTCCGATGGATTAAATGCTCAGCTGAATGTGGTTTTAGTTTTAAATTTTGCTGTTTTTTCAAAGTCATTTTTCTTGTCACTTCATAACTTTTACCATTTCTCATTTCATTCCTTTGGTTCCGAGTAGTGGATAGGACTTCAAACTTCGAAGTTTCGGTGGCGCTGTCGTCATTACAGAGAGGGGTTGCTAGCCTCTTGCCTGACTTCTCTTTTGAGTTTACTGCCGTCTAGCAAACTGGACGAGGCTTCCGGAGCACATCGTCCGGGAGTCGGACCCTGCCTTCTGGTGTGGATGGTAAACATTCGACCGTTTCACCACCTATGCTATTAGTAACTGTTATCGTAACAACAGAAGACAAGGGCCAGGCAACAGAACGTTTATTACGGAAAATCAACACATATTTATAGATTTTGATGTACATTATTGTAAGTTAATGTTAGTAGAAAATACAGTCTGTTGATTGGTTTTTTCTCACAGAAAGTTAACCTTGCATCTCTTGTGGCTGTGTCAGTTCATCTATATGTTAACTGTATCCGCCTGTCCATCTTGACCTTGTTTTCACATGACTAACATTGATCTCAATTACTGTCAACCAATTTGGTTAGCAACCATCTCTCACCACATTATGACTGACATTCACTATATAATAGGTCAAATATGTTTGGCTAGGTGTCCAAAGCTTTAGCTCATTGGTTCAGTTGGTGTTCGACTTCGAACTCCTAGGTCCTGCTTGACCTACAGAGGTATGTCAAGTCAGGTAGTATTGTTAGTCCTCAGACAATAAATGCGGCTCATTGTCGGATATCCATGGAAATGCATATAGTTGTTGTGAGGTAGTAGGCATCTTCAGGAAATAAAAATCCAGTATACAGTTCCTAATGTTACTGATGTTTAGTAACTGGAGTGAATATGTTGTAGTTTGTGTTAATTTTAGCTTTCTGAGATGTGTTCATATCATCGGAATCTGTAGTATTTTGGTCGTTTTAGACACGTCGATATCCGACTGTTGGTAAACACCAATTAGCACCAGTGAGAGAAACCTAATGCAGATCTTTCCTTTCGATTACCTCCCCAGCATGGCACATATGTGGATGACGAATCCAGCCAAGATCGGGAAAGCAAGATAGGCATTCACTAATTTTGAAATCAGTTTGCAGATTTGTAATGGTTAGCGAATGGAACAACATTCGAATTGTCAACACTAATGTAACGTGGAGGAGAATCATGTGAAGAGAAAATGAAATCTGGTGGGCAGTATTGGTTTCAATTCTCTTAGTGGACTACACACCTCTGCTTTTATTTTGTTCATAGTGGCGTGTGTGAATTGATAGGAAGTGGCCAAAAATTTAAATCAGCATTTTAGGTCAGTAGCTGGAGAAGTAACAGCGTTTATTCTTCAAATTCAGATTTAGTTTGCGTTGTGGTCATGCAATAGTTTCATTGGACAACTTTTATTCTGACTGTCTAACCTTGGACCAGTCGCCAACCAATCAGGACAGTTTATTGTCCGCTGACTCAGCCGACTTTTAATGTGGTTAAAACTGTACTAATATGCATTTTTGTTCCCAATTCTCTTATCTTCTACCGTTGCAATAGTACGAGCTACTTTGTTAATTGACATTAGTGCGTATGCACCTGATTCGATATTTTCCGAAGCTTTCACAGTCACAGTGCCTTTGTCAGCTTTAGTTATGACAATGCATGACGTTTGTCTTCCGACAGATTTATGGTTGACTACTCTTCATTCGATATGATACATCCAACCTTCTGACTCAATTAATTAGCTTCATCATCAGGTCAAAGGGTTACTACAGGTTCAGTGATTGATGTTATTTCTATTGCTTCCAGTAGTTTTCTAGTTATGTTGAAGTGTACTGCCTTCTAAAGTAATTCTGCTTCGTGTACACATTGGTTTCTCTGTTGAACAAATTGCATAGTGTTCTTATCGTAGTCTGTATTCTTGACTTCTCTGATCTAGAGTATGCTGCATTCAGATTTCTAAGCTTTTCAAACTTCTGAATTTGTCTTTGTTTAGTAGTTTTGATGCGATTTCTCTCTTTACTGTTATTCCTCTATATCTGATGCATTTGATATTATGAAATATGCATTAGGAAACAATCAAGAAATATTAGCTAAATGTTCATAATCAATAGAAGACATTATAAGATGCTTAAAATTTGTTTAGAATCTACTTATTTATTTTAATTTTAAAGACAAACTGTACTGTCGGACAAATGAAGTTGCAATAGGATCAACAGCATCTCCAATTGTAGTAAATTTCCATATGGAAGGTTTAATTTGTCATCCTAGAATGTTTATTGTTCACATATGTAGGCAACAGTTCGTCGGTGGTGGTTCAGTGGTTGAATGCTGACCAGCCACGCAAGTGGTCCGGGGTTCATTCACCGGTTGGCGTACTCCTTTTCCTTCCTTAGCCGGTTAGTAGTAAGCTAGGCAAAGAGAGAAGATTGGGCATGAAATTAGCAATCGCATCCCGTAAAATAAACACTGCTGCTGAAACTTCAAAGCTCTAGCTTGAAGCCCTATGTTCCACTGGAAACGCAAAGGAATAATATAAATAATAATAATAGTAATGTAGACGACACATTTCTCAATTATTAAGAAAGCTGAAAAAGGGAACTTTCTCGAACAAGTTAATTCCATTTCAAAATGTCTAAAGTCTACAAATGAGATTGAATCGGTTGAGGGAACTGGAAACCTTCTGGATTGTCTTGTAGAAAGATTAACTGACTGAAAAATAAAGTTCAACAACTGCGTCTATAGGGGAAAAATGGTCAGAATGTGAAGCTTACCGTATGACGGAAAGCAGTAGAAAGGTTATGGTCAGAGTGAATGAACACACACACATACACTGCGCACGAAACTTCCGCCTAGAAATGAAGTAGAATTAAAGAGTCACGAAAAAAGTGGACATAAAATCGATTTTGACAATGTTAAAATTCTAGGGAAAAGCTTTCATTCACATAAAGAAGCATTGACCTCTGAAGCCTTACATATCTTAACAAAGTTGATGCAATAGGTAGGAGAGAGAGAAAGAATAGACTTATCACCAGTAGACTGTGTAATACATCAAAAGAGGTGAAAGAATTTATTCAATCTTATGTTGTGACCACTGGAAAGTATCATCATGATTTTCACATGTTGAACTGATGTGTGCGAACAACATACACACACACACACAGACAAATCTGCACATATGACAATTCGACACTAGTCATTACAAATACGTGAGGATTGTTTGCATTTTTTTTCTATTACTACAAAGATCAACGGACAAGTGACCTTCAAAGAAGTTCACTTCGATTTGTGCAATTTTTGTCCATATATGTTGATAGTTAATAAAATTCGAATAATTATTCTGCTGAAGAGGCTGTGGCCTCCTACACAGCGAAACTTCCAGAATCATCTTGTTTTAGTGTTTTAAATACGCTAAAATTATTTCACGTAATCCAGTAATAATAATAGTAAGATTATTTTCAAAGTGAACCGCGCGTTCCAATCCAACAGTATCTGCTTTAATGATATCATGTTTCAGGTTCATCTAACATTGATATAAACTGCACTCTAATGTATAATCATTTCTCCTATTTCATATGGTAAACTTTGGCTAGTATATATATATATATGTATATGTGTTTAGGGGAGTGGGGTGTGTGTGTCACAGCCCTCAAAATATGCATGGATATCTCGATGACTACCTCAATAATAAAATCCACCAACTGTCTGACTGAATTTCAACATGGGACCTTGCACAGAAATGCAGCCTTTCAAGTTGCCACACCCCATAAATTCTAACGAATTATAATGAGAAGAAACGTTTGAGGAGAAAGAATAGTGACACAGTGATAGATTAAAAAGGATGAATGCATCTTCACCAGTGAAAACGATTTCGGGTTCATATCACCACCAGTGGTCTTCAGCTGTTGGTTTCCAAAGCCTCGAACCAGGTAGTTTTCACCTCCCTACTAACTGTCAAAGACTTTGTGGATCGATACCAAGTTTTGGTTTGACTGTCTGTAACTCTATCGTAAAGCTAATCCTGTGTCAAGTATTTCATCATGAATATCAATGAGATGCTCACTGGCGACTGGCCCTATTCAGGTAGGTAGTTACCTGGGGTTCCAGTAGGAAGTCGTGACTAGTAGGGTGCAGCAGGTCGGGTGTGAGGACAAATACTCGCCGAAGACATTTGCTAGCGGTTGCGCTATATCGTGACACTAGTCATTACAAATATGTGAGGATTGTTTGCAATTTTTTTATTGGTACAAATGTCTGCCGACAGGTGACCTTCAAATCAGTTCAGTTTCTGTAGTTTTTGAGTGCATATGCTGATGGCTAGTAAAATCTGAATGAAAATTCTGCTGAAGATGTGTCTTAAAAATAGAGAAACGTTCAGAAAAAATCTTCTTTTGAGTAATTACATATATGTGTAAAACTTGGGTACTGTAGTAGTAAGCACTTCCTTATCGGTTTGTTTATTAGATGTATCACACAGTGAAACAGTATTATTTACTGGATAACAATATTTCGAACAAAATTTGTTGTTCATGATCATATCAATTATAACCACACGACTTTGAAACCTGAGTTTTATAGTTTTCTTTGTCCTCTCCTATTTGTGGTAGGGATATCTGGGACAGGTGTTGAATCATTCCTATCATAGTAATATCAATGACAACATGCATGTCAAACATGCGCAAGGCAACGCCAACAATAAGGAAGCTGAATCAGCAGTTGTAATCCCATTCAAGGAAGGAACCTCGGAAACCTTACGCAGAATTCTTGGCAAGACAGGAATAAGAGTGACTGGCATTCGAACCCACAAACTCAATTAGAAACAAGCTTTGTCGGTTAAAGGATCAATCCTGTGGAGCCTTTAAAACAAAACAATTTAGTTTATCTCA